TCATGTTCTTTGATCTACCAGATGTTTTTAATTTAAATGAAGCCAAATTTGTCTAAGTTTTCTTTTGACTATTGCATATATAAGAAAACTTTGGCTAATGCATGGTCATGAAGGTTTAATCCCATTTTTTGTTCTAAAGTTTTATAGTTTTAGCTAATACATTTAGGTTTATAATCCATTTTAAGTTCATTTTTATATGTGGTGTAAGGAAGGGATCCAACTTCATTCTTTTGTATGTGGCTATCCAGTTGCCCCAGAACTACTGGTTGAAGACTTCTTTTTGTTTTTGTTTTTTAATATGTTTTTATTGATATTTTAGAGGGAGAGAGAGATAGAAATATTAATGTGAGAGAGATACATCGATTGGCTGCCTCCTGCATGCCCCCTGCTGGGGATCGAGCCCACAACCTGGGCATGTGCCCTGAGCAGGAATAGAACTGGGACCTCTCAGTCCATAGGATGATGCACAATCCACTGAGCCACACTGGCCAGGCTGAAGATTTCTTTTTCCATTAAATTATCTTGGCACCTTGTTGAAAATCAAATGACCATAAAATTAAGATTTATTTATGGACTCTCAATTATATTCCATTGGTGTCTACATTCACCCTTGTGCCGGTATAACACTGTCTTGATTACTGTAGCTTTGTAGTAAGTTTTGAAATAGGGGAATTGTGAGTCCTCCAATTTTGATCATCTTTTTTCAAGATTGTTTTGGGTATGCTGGTTCCCTTGCATTTCCACACACATTTTGGGATCAGTTTGTACATTTATGCAAAAAAAAAAAAAAAAGGCAGCTGAAATTGCAATAGGGATTGCATTGAATCTGTACAGCAATTTAAAGGGAACTGCCTCTTAACAGTATTAAGTCTTCTGATCCACAAACATGGGACATCTTTCCATTTATTTAGGAACTTATTTAATTTCATTCAACAATGTTTTGTAGCTTTCAGTATACAAGTTCTTCACTACTCTCATTAAATTTATTCATAAGTATTTTATTCTTTTGATGCTATTGTAAATGAAATTGTTTTAATTTCATTTTTAGATTGTTCATCAGATTGCTAGTGTATACAAATACAATTGATTGTTGTATATACATATTTTTTTTTTATCCTTACCTGAGGACATTTTTTTTTTGCATTTATCTTCAGATAGAGCAGGAGGAAGAGAAAGAGAAACATCAATATGAGAGAGACACATTGAGTGGCTGCCACCCAACCAGGGCCGGGGACAAACTTCTTCCGAGGTACATGTCCTTAGTGGGAACTGATCCCAGGACTTTCTGGTCTGTGGGCTGATGCTCTAACCACTGAGCAAAACCGGCCAGGGCTGATTGTTTTATACTGATCTGCAACTTTGCTGAACTCATTTATTATTTCTAATAGTTTTTAATGGATTCCTTAGGATTTTCTATATACAAGATCATGTCATCTGCATGGTTAATCTTCTTCCCTTCCAATCTGGATGTCTTTTACTTCTTTTGCTTGCCTAATTGTCCTGGCTAGACCCTCTAGTACAATGTTGATTAGGAGTGGCAAGAATATGCATCTTTATCTTGTTCCTGTTCTTGAGAGACAGACACTCATTTTTTCACCAGTAAGTATAATGTTAGCTGTGATTTTTTTATAGATGCCCTTTATTTGGTTGAGGAAGTCCCTTCTATTCCCAGTTTGTTGATTTTTTTCCTTTATCATGAAAGGGTGTTGGATTTTGTCAACTGCCTTTTCTATGTCTATTAAGATTACCGTGTCATTTTTGCTTTTTATTCTATTGATATGGTGTATATAATATTAACTGATCTTTAGATGTGAAACCAACCTTGCATTCCTGGGATACATTCCACTTGCCATGGTATATAATTCTTTTTGTATGTTACTGGATTTGGCTTCCTAGTATCTCGTTGAGCATTTATCCAGATTTTAATAAAATTTTCCTACCCATTTAATAGTAGGTAAAGTATAGAACTACATTCACCAACATCATTGCATTTGGGGGTTCATTAAGTGTTAAAAATAATCCATAAGGTCTTGGTTTATAGTGATTTGTATTTTGCTGAATCATGAATTTTGTTGAAACATATGTTTAAATCATATTCTGCAAGTGCAGTGCAAAAGGTGTCACTTAGCCAGTGAGCATAGTTAAAAATAAGCTTGCAAAGTCCCAAATGCCTTTACACTCTACTCTTATTTTATCAGGTATTTTGGGGCAAAATTATATACTACAGTTGCAAACCTAATATGAAGCCCACTCCTTTCAATATCCAATAATACAGAAAAAAAAAGTATATTCAAAATCAAGAAAAACTGAAAAGAATTAAAACATTTATGGACTCTGCCGAAGGATATAAAATGGGATCTAATTCAAATTCCATAAAAAACTTCTTAAAATCTTTCCTTTCCTATTCAATCTCTGATAGAAACCTACATTTAAGATCTTCTGTCCTTCCCCCCCATTTTCTTCCCTCTTGTATCCATTCATTTTACCTTTTAGTAGAGAAATTGCACATTGTGGCCCATATGCCAAATCTGGCCTATGTATGCATTTACTTTAATATAGTATTCTAAAAGCAAATTTAATTAGTTGTCAATACTTGGGAAATTACACATAAATATCTGTGTATCTGATTTTCCTTGAAAATTTGACAAAATGTTGCCTTCATTTTACAACTGGCTTATAGTATATATGACTGCCTCTGTCAAATATGACATGTTCCTCTGGTTTGCTACAGTTTTGCCACCCCCTATTGATTATATATGGCCCATTTTACTATTTATGATATAGGCCTAGCCTCTATAGATATTGGAGTCTATGATCTTTTTATGTTGTCCTTTCCAATGTAAATTAGCCTTTCTCAGACACTTTCTAATTTTGCAATTTTTTCTATTTATTATACTGAATAGTATAACAAGAATTCTGAGAACCCCCACAGGATCCCTTGAGAATTGTCAAGAGTCCAGAGATGAGCTGTCACCTTTTGGGCACTATGAGCTTAATAAAATCCCAGTGGAGATCTTTTTCTGTTAGAAAGGAAAGGTAAACTCAAACAACTGATTACAGTAACTTTGTATGTAAAGACCTCTTGGGGGTAGGAAAGACCAGCTGTAAGAGATTAAAGGGGTAAGTCCTGGGCTGTCTGTGCCTATCAATATTAGAAAAGTAGTGATTTACAAAATTGATCTTCCTGGAAAAAGGAAGAGGAAGATGGAAAGAGAAAAACAGATATTACAGTAGTATCAACAGCACCTATGAAAAAGAATTACAATTTCTATGACTTACCATAAATCAAGTGATGAATTGAGAGCTGTTAATTACTCTGGAAGTGTTTCCTGTGGGGTTGAATACATCCTTGCCTGTGGGGGGGAAAAACTTGTGCTTACTTCAGTCTGTTTCTTTTCTCTGTCCTTTAAATGGTTACATGTATTTCTTCAGGACCTCAATATTATTAGAGATACTGAGACAACTTTGCAGTATTTATTTTTACTATAATTAATTTTCGTTCTAAAACACAAGAACTCCCCATCTAATTCAATAGTGATAGATTCACTGAAAAGGTCAACCTAAAAACAAGAATACAAAAATCAAAAGCTGTATATGAAGTACATGTACATGTTTGGGCTTTTGAATTACATTTCAGTCATGCTCTACCTAATGAGAGAAAGTAACAACATTTATGCGATTTGCAAAATAGAATGAAGGCTGGTTGTCTGAATATGGTTATATATTCATTATCATATAAATAGCCTCTGCTTCTTTTAACCAGTTATTTTCAGAAAGCAGATCAACTTAGTAATATCAATTAAATAATTTTTTATTGTTTACACTATTATGATGTCAGATGGAATTCAATAATTTAGACCAGAGTTTGATGGCATATTATACCTCTATGATGCCACTAAGTATATATACATATATGTGTGTATGTATATATATATATATATAAAATTATATTTTATCATTTGCTCATTTGTGTCTTCAAAGCTATTGTTAATATTTGATATGTGGAGCAAAGAAAATGATATTCGTGCTTAAACATATATATAGATAGACTCAGGATAGTTACCATATGAACTGCTTAGTTTGATTCCTAGCCTATAGTAAGCCCTCAATAAATGATGGCCCTAATTTTTATATTCTCACTAATATTTTCTCCCATAAGGTTCTGTACAGCGCCTTGCCTCACAAGCACTTGAGTTCAGAATACTGGGTCCTTCCTTCTCCCTTCTGTCTTTAGCATATACTTGGCAAATCTTATTCCTACACAACTGGCCACAGACAGTTATTAGACACCTATGATTTTCCCACTGTTCAAATTGGTTTTTGAAAATCCTAAAATAGCAAACAACAGCAAAAGTATAATAAGTAATATCTTGCCCTCATTTTTTCCTGTCTCAATCTATGTGCCCTGCTACCAGATGCATTAGACTTCATATCTAACCATAAATTCTTATGAACCTGGAAATCTTCGTATAAGAAAAACAACCTCCAGGGTATGAGAAAAGGGATATTCCTTTTCTCCAGGGCATGTAGAAGACTTCCCACAGATTTCTTTACAGGGCAAAATTATTCCACTTATATCTTTGGGACTGTGTCCCTTTGAAGTCTCAAAGGACTAGAAAATCCTCACTTGAAAGGTGAGCCTACCAAAATGGGCACCAGGTATACTCAAAACCCTGTTCCGCAGTACTGGACAGCGACCTTCAGGCTGCTCCGGCTGCTGCGCATGCGCCACAATTGCCGGGCTTCTAGCACAGCGTCTTTGCTCATTCTTTCTTTGCTGTCCTTCGGCTCTTTCCCAGACTTCCGTTCAAACTTCCCGCTTTGACAGAACCCACCAATCACAAACGCCCTTCCTCAGGCCACGCCCCCCATAGTCCTCTCCAGGAACCCGAGTCGGATTTCACGCACACCCTCCTGCCTTACGCACGCTGCGCGCAGACGTCTGCCTGTGACGCCGTCGTCGACCTCGCGCGGACTCCCGCCGGGGCCGCTCCCGCAGACCGTTGGGCGGCCTATCGAAGCCCCTCCCTCAGGGCCTTCCACCGCCCCAACCCAGCCAACCGTTCTTGCTGCGGCGACTCATGTGGAGCTTCGGACTCCTGCGGTCGCCGCCGCTGCTGCTTCTGCTGCCGCAGCTCGGAATCGGGATAATCGCCGCCTCACGCTGTCACGCCGGAACCATGAACTTGGGCGGCAGCACCTCTGCGCGATGCTCCCCCTCGGCCGAGGGGCGCCGACGCCACTGCCTGCGGCTGTCCACGGTGCCAGGAGCCGATCCGCAGCGCACCAACGAGTTGCTCCTGCTGGCGGCGGCGGAGGGGCCCGAACTGCGGGATCTCCCTGGGGACCGGACGGAGGAGCTGCCGCCGCCGCCCCAGCATCACGTTCTCTATCTCCCAGGGGATGTGCAGGTAACCTGGGGCCTGCCTGGGCACCTGTTCCTTCGTCTTGTGCATGTGTGCGAATTCCCTAGATTCTCTCCTCGCAGCTGCTGCCGGTCCCCGCCTCGACACAGCCACACGTGCGCTCGGGGGTGGCTCTTCGTTACTCCACGAAATCCCAAACTTCCCCTTCCACCCCCACCCCTTCCTCTTGTAGCCCCAGAGGGAAGGTGTCCTTGCAGAGTTACGACCTCCGAAGAGACAGCTCTCAGTCCAGGCTTCAAGGGAGTAGAATTTGAAACATACAAGAAATGAGACGCATAATATATATTCTTTCTGTGACTTGGTTTCTCAGAGGAGTGTGTGTGTGCGTGTGTGTGTGTGGAGCAGGAGACAGGTGGCCTTTAAATTAACTTAGCGCATAGTGTTCCGCTGGCAGTTATTAAAAAGCAAACAAGTAAAAAAAAAAAGAAAGAAAGAAAGAAAATCAAGGGTATGACAGTAACCCTAAGAAAGGGACAGTGGGTGGAGAAAAGGGACAGTGACTACCAAGCATGTCACTACTTTGATGCTCACCTAAATTTTGTACTTTTGTTTTGTGTGGGTGTGATTTTATCTTTATTATTATAGCTTAAGGCAAATTACTGTGGATATCTTGTCCTGGAAATCTGGGTATCAGTCTAGATCTTAATCTAGAACCTGCTGTCCAAAACAGTAGTCATTAAGCTATATGTGGCAATTTAAACTAATTTAAATAGAAATTCAGTTCCTTAGTCACACTAGCTGCATTTCAGGTGCTCAGCCGCAGCTGAGGTCTGTGTGTGCTGTAATGAGTAAGGCAAATACAGAAGAGCATTCCCACAGAGCATTACCATCATCACAGAAAGTTCTATGGAATACTATTGGTATAGACAGGTAAAGCTAGAATATGGCTAGGTGTATTTCTTAGTCCATGAAACAGTATTAATTTATTATTTTTTGAAATTGATGATTTAAAAAGATATACTTAAAACTTTGTGTCCTGAGTCAAATAGTGATTAAGATACCTGTAGTTGCCCTGGCCAGTTTTGCTCAGCGGTTAGAGCATGGGCCCCGGAACAGAGGGTCCCAGGTTCAGTTCCCTCTAAGGGCATCTACCTCAGTTGCAGTTCGTCCCCATTCCCGGTTGGGGTCGTGTAGGTGGCAACCAGTCGATGCTTCTCTCTCTCTCTCTCCCCCTCCCACTCTATCTGAAGGTAAATGCAAAACTGTCCTCAGGTGAGGATTAAAAAAAAAGATATCTGTAATATTTTTCTCTTGTCCTCAAAATAGTTGACTGCTAATAAATACTATGAAAAAACCCTAATATTTAGGCTTATTTTATTTTGTACTTTATTTATTTATTTTTGGTACGTGCCCCTAGCAGGAACCAAACCTGGGACTCTCTGGTCCACAGGCCGATGCTCCAATTGCTGAGCCAAACCGGCTGGGGTGATTTATTTTATTTTTTAAAAATATGTTTTTATTGATTTTTGAGAGAGAGGGAAACATGATGTGAGAGAGAAACATCGATTGGCTACCTCCTGCAGGCCCCCCGGGGATCAAGTCCAAAAACCAGGCATGTGCCCTGACCTGGAATTGGACTGGGACCTCTCAATCCATAAGAGGACGCTCAATCCACTGAGCCACGCCAGTCGGTCTGATATTTAGATTTAAGAGAAAAAGCTTACTTAATCAGTGCCCTATTGCTCAGTTTAGGAAAACATCATGACATTGCTGATAGAGACTTCCAGATTGTGGACTAGCTGTTGTGTGCATCTATAACGATGATGATGATGATGATAAAACATCTACTAAATGTTTTTAAAATATGCCAGCCAGAACATAAGTCTTCAGGTGAGGTCTAAAAAATGCTAGTTAGAGTAATACCTCCTTTTGTTTTGACATCATCCATTTCTTTATGTAGCTTGAGATTCCATTAGATTTTTGGACAGTGATATACTGTTTTATGCAGAGTATGAAGTGCTCTAAAAATCCAGGTCTTTTAGAGAAGAAATAGAAGATAATGCTACAAAAGGCTTTTAGGCCAGATTGCCTAGGTTTAAACCCTGATTCTGCACTTTTTAGCTGTTAAATCTCTGACCAGTGGCAGCTACCTCAACTATAAAATAGGAATAATAATTTATAGGATATCAATAAGGATTAAATATGTGAATACCCAATGAATTACCTCTTCTTTCTAATTACCTCTTCAATTATGGGGGTACCCATGTACTCAGTTCTAGGGCCTTTTCTCTGTGTGCCTTTACTTCCTTGGTAATCTCTTTCAGACCTGTGGCCTTACATATTACCTGTTCTCTGACAACCTTCAACATTTGTGTATATAGCCTGGACATAAATCGCAAACTTTAGACTTACCAATTGCTTGCACACTATTTCATTTTGTATATTTAATAGATATCTCAAACCTAAAAATCTTGGGATCTTTGCCTCTAAACCTATTCTTACTACAGTCTTCCTCATCTCAGTTAATAAAAATTTCCTTTTTAGTTGCTCAAGTTAGATATCTTGACATTACTTTTTAGTCCTCTCTTTCACACTTCATTTCTTAATCCCTCAATAAAATGGCTTCATGTCCTTAATGTATCTAAAAGTGATCAGAATAATCATTTAAAAGTAGAAGTCAAATCATGACACACTTCTGTGCTCAAAATTCCAGTAATTTCTCATATCACTTGGAGTAAAGGCCAGAAACCTCTTGATGGCCTGCAAGGCCCTTCACTATCTTCACCTTTTCCCACCTTGTTGCTTTTCTGATTCTCCTTTTTCTCTTTTACTCTGTTCCAGCCATACCAGCCTTCTTCAAATTGCTCATGGTAGGCACACTTCACCTCAAAAGCTTTGAAAATACTGCCTGGAGGAACAGTCTTCATGTAGATATATGTAGGATTCATTACCTCACCTGTTTCACATCTTTGCTCTAAAGTTACCTTTATAGTGAAGCCTCTTCTAACCATCCTGTTTAATAATCAAGTATATTATTCATTCGTTTTGGTTTTTGTCTTCTACTACTACAGTGTTTTCTTCACTGATGTATCTATGATACTTAGTGACTGGTATGTAGTAGGTGTTCAGTAGATGACTTGTTGAATGAATAAATGTATGTAAGTTACTTTGAATATTGCATGAAATGTTTGGTAAGTCTTGGCTATTATATGAAATGCTTTTAGACTCAGATTTCCTCATCCATAGCCTTGTACTTGATTCTTTTGAGCTTGATGTTGATCCATATGAAATTTACCCTGTGACACAGCCCATGTTTTTAGTGTATTGATCCTTTTAGAACTATTATTTTGTATCATATATATATATATATAAAATAAGCATTCTTTTTATATCTTCATTTGAAAGTATTTGGATAAGTATTGAATAGAATAGGGCCAAACAGAACTTTGTAGGGTATCATTGAAAGCTTTACCTCATCTTAACATAGATTCATTGTTTGGTATTAACTGGACCTGCTTATCCATGTAATTTTAAATCCTGGTTACTATTACTTTTTGATTTTCCTTTTGCAGTCATCTTTTGTTGTATGCCTTTTCTTATTCTATACTTGTCCTTTTATCATTTGAATTACAGGAAGACTGAGGCCATAGTAATTCATATTTCTTTAGGTATCTCTTGATGTTTTTCTTATGCTTCAGTAATGATTTTGGAGAGGGATCAGGATTCTTTTAAGTAGATGCTTTCTAATTCTCTTCAGTTATCTTGCTTTTTTAAAACCTCATGATATAGCCCAGGCTGGTTTGGCTCAGCGGTTAGAGCATCAGCATGTGGTCCAGAGAGACCCAGGTTCAGTTCCCGCTAGGGGCAGGTACCTTGGTTGCAGTTTGTCCCCGACCCTGGTTGGGTCGTGTGGATGGCAGCCACTCGATGTGTCCCTTTCACGTCAATGTTTCTCTCCCTCCCACTTTATCTGAACAAAATATCAAAAAGTGTCCTCGGGTGAAGATTAAAAAAAAAGGGAACTAAAACCTCATGATATAGAATTACACTTATCTCTTTCTTTTTAAAGGGTATGCTTACAATTTGATGAATTTTGACAAATATTACAGTTATGTAACTAACATCACAGTCATGTTATACAACATCTCCATCATTCTAAAAAGTACCCTTATGTCCCACTTTGGTCAGTCTCTTTTCTCTCAGCCCCATGAAGTCACTAATCTGCTTTCTTTCACTATAGTTTTTGCCTTTTCTAGATTTTCATTAATTTGGAACATCCAACTGGAAGATATGCTTAGGGTAAGGTATGTGGGAAGAGTTGCAGAGATTCCTTGTTCTTTCTGAGCACATCACTTTCCTAGCACTTCCACATGTCCACCAACCCAGAAGATACCCAAACCTGTACTTTGGGGGTTTTAATGGAGGCTTCATTGCATAGTCATGATCTGTCATGAACTCCATTTCTAGCCCCTTGCTGGAGAATGGGTAGTGGGGCTGAAAGTTCCAAATTTCTGATCATGTCTTGATCTTTCTGGTGATTAGTCCATATCCAGGGGCACACCAAGAGTCACCCAGGAAATTTCAAGGGTTTTAGGAACTCTGTGCCAGGAATCATGGCAAAGGTGCAGGTGTGCATGTGTATGGTTGGGCAAAAGTAGGTTTGCAGTTGTTGGTACAGAAAATAATACAATAATAAATAATAATGCATGAATAAACTCTTTGTTTCACGTACCCACAACTGTAAACCTACTTTTGTGCCACCCTGTATATATATTCTATTATTTCACACCTGATCATATTCCCCTAGGGCTCTGTCAGGCAGCCTTCTTCTTAGGCTGGATCCTGCTATGGTCCTTCTATCTTGCTTACTTAGGACATCTACTCTATGCTCAGCAAAGATTCCCCTTTGCCCCATTTTTTTGTGTGTGTGAAAGTATAGCTTGTACCCAGTATAGTTCTCCTCACTCTACTATAAGACTAGGCCACCTAGCTTAAATTTTTATCATGAATGTCTTTTAAATTCTTGGAGACACATGTTAAGTTTTCCTAAAAATCCTTTGTACCTTTACTTCAGTAACAGTGTGAGGTGGGCCATAAGTTTTGCAGGTTAGCAAGCATCTGCCTTTGCAGTAAGCATCTTTAATCTCTCTCCAGGAGATTCTGTTGCCACCTGCCTCACTTGGGATGAAGATAAGCATGCCAGGGTAAAGAAGTGCATTCCATAGTCTTTAGCCTTTTCTGTATGTTGCAATGGTATATTATCTGGGTTGCAGAACCAGTTTGGGCTTCTAATTAGCAAGTCCTGTGAAACTGTTTCGTGTCTTTTGTCAAATACAGAACTACTTATCCATTGTTCTCAGATCTGGGCTATGACACAACAGTTAGAATGCCATTTTTACATTTTAGTACACACAGATCCTTAATATAAGCATTTCTCCTTTGATCATGGGGGAAATAAAATACCAAGTTTTTAGATTTACCACCTCCCATGTGGTAGCGACTAAACAGAATCATAAAATCTTGAGTTAATTTTAGCTCATTAACTAAATAACTATATAAATAACTGTATAGTTTTCTAGGACCTCAGTTTCCTTAGCTATAAAATGAATTTTTATGATCTGTTTCATATATAAGCTCCTATGATAATTTTACCATACTTTTATCACAAATCTGATGTGCAGAAGGCAGTAGCATAATCCATAAAAATTAAATGATAGCCTTTTAAAATATGTGACAAACAATATTAATGAGATACATCATGAAGGACTTTGAGCATCCTATTGGGAAAATTATCAAAGGACATGAAAAAAGAATGAACAAAAAAAGAAAAGAAATGAAAATTACCAATAAACAGAAAAATATTCCCCTGATTAGGAATCAAAACATGGAAATTAAAGCAAAAGTATACATCATTTTATCATAGTAGGGGAGATTTTAAAAAATTAGTGTTAATAGCCAGTGTGGGCTAGGATGTGGGAAAATAAGCACTCATATATACTTCTAGTTGGAATGTAAATTAGTATTAATCTTTCTGATGGGAAGTCTAAAAATTATGATGCAAATTATATTTATTGATATGGAATCATACCTATATTATATTTTTAAGTGAAAACTATATATATAAGCTTGCTGGGGGAGAAGTAAAGAATGCTTTTTTGATATACATATTTGCATATGTATTTGTATACTAAAGAAAACACCAAAATTTTTATAAATTTTTTTTTTTAATTTTAGAGAGAGAGAAACATTGATAGGAGAGAGAAACATCGACTGGTTGCCTCCCACACGTACCCAGACTGGGGATCGAACCTGCCACCTTTTGGTGTATAGGACAACACTCCAACCAACTGAGCCACACTGGCCAGGGCAATAATGATTAGTTTTAATTGGTGATTTTATGGAGGATTTTTCTATCTTATATATTTATAGATATAGACTAAATTTTTATAGTATTATGTTTATTAGTTCTACTTTTTTAATGGAAAAAATGTGCATTTTGCTAAAAATTTAGTCCATTTAAGGTTGTACATTGAAAAGTAAGCCTCCTTCCATCCCATTTCCTCTAGTCTCCCATTTCCTTTCCCTAAGGCTGTCACTGTTACCGATTTATATGTCCTTCCATAGATATTTTATGTTGATGCAAACTTTTTTTAAAAAACACAAATGGACCCTGGCCAGTTTGGCTCAGCGGTTGGAGCGTCGGCCTGTGGACCAGAGAGTCCCGGGTTCGGTTCCCACTAGGGGCAGGTACCAAAAAAAAAAAACCAAAAACACAAATGGTGGCATGGCATACAGGGTTGTTTTTTTTTTCCACCATTTTACAACCCATATGATACTCATAGAGCTGCCCCATTCGTATTTATTTATGTGTGTACACAAGTATATCAACTGAGATAAATTCCTAAAAGTAGGATTACTAAATCAAAAGTGAGGTACATTTAGCCCTGGCCGGTTTGGCTCAGCGGTTAGAGTGTCGACCTGCGGTCCGGAGAGACCCGGGTTCGGTTCCCGCTAAGGGCACGTACCTTGGTTGCAGTTTGTCCCCGGCCCTGGTTGGTCATGCGGGTGGCAGCCACTCGATGTGTCCCTTCACATCGATGTTTCTCTCTCTCTCTCCCTCCCACTCTATCTGTACAAAAAAAAAAAAAAGGAAAAAATATCCTCGGGTGAGGATAAAAAAAAAAAAAAAAAAGTGAGGTACATTTAAATCTGATAGATAGATAGATAGATAGATAGATAGATAGATAGATAGATAGATAGATATAGATATATCTATATCTATCTATATATAGATAGATATAGATATATATATGTTAGAAATAAGGAAGAATCACAACTCTTTCTTTTCCTCATACCCTATATCCAGTCCATCAGCAAGTTTTGTTGACTCTACCTTTAAAATATATTTAGAATCTAACCACTTACCACCTTCAGTTCTACTACCACTCTGGTTCAAGCTGTCTTCTCTCATCAGGATTACACTTAAGTAGCCTCTGCTTCAACTGCTGCCCCATTCACAAATAGTAATCTTTCAAAATATAGATTATATCAGCCCTCTGCTCCAAACCCTATCAGAGCAAAAGCCAAAGTCTTCATGATGTCTTACAAGGTGTGATCTGCTCGTTCCTCCTCCCCAGCAATCTCTTTCTTAGTGATGACTTTTGCTGCTTTTTCACTCCACTGGCGCTCCTTTGGCCTCTTGGTTATGCCAAGCATGCTTCCACTTCAGGGCCTTTTGCCAGTTGCAGTTCCTATGCCTGAAATATGATTCACTCCCTCAGTTCCTTCAGGTCCTTCTCAACTATCACTTTATTGGAAACCACCCTGTTTTTTAAATAATAATCTACCACACTCTCCAAAACCCTGCACTTCTTTTTTCCTGCTTTGTTTATTATACTCCATTGCATTTACCACCATCTAATGTTTTGTGCTATCCAGCCAGCCACTAGCCACTGGTCGCTATTGAAATGTTGTTAGTCTAATCAAGGAAATACATTTTTAATTGCATTTAATTTTAAATCTAAAAACTGATACTCCAGTCAGTTCCTGGAAAAGTTTTAAATATACTTGAACAACTTGGTATGTGATTCTACTTTTTCAGCTGTAGATTTTATGAAATCTAAATTCAGTTAAGTATTTCCACTGAAAGTTTAGCACCTAAATTGAGATGTGCTGTAACTATAAAATACACTGGATTGCAAAGACTTAGTAAGAAAAATAAATGTAATACTCTCTCAGTAGTTTCTTTTATATGGGTTATATGTTGAAATGGTAATATTTTGGATATATTGTGCTCAAAATGTATTATTAAAAATAATTTTCACCTGTGAACTTTCTGAATGTAGTTACTAGAAAATTTTATGTGTAGCTCATGTTATATTTCTGTTGGAAAGTGTTGCTCTATTTACTAATGGAGTTGTTTGTTGTGTATCTCTACTTAGACTGTGAGCTCCATGTGGACAGGAGTTTAGTCTGTTCTGATCCATACCCAATCATTAGGTATCCAATAAATTTTATAGAATACATTTTAATGAATTTCCCCCCTTTTTAAAAAAAGCTATGAATGAAAATTAAGAGGAAAACAAAATTTACATGCATGTCCTAGAACCTAAGTAAAAAGTTATTCATACATATAAAATGCTTATAAATAAATAAGATCCAGTTTTATTTTTTATTTTTTTTATCCTCACCCGAGGACATTTTTCCATTTTTTGTTCAGATAGAGTGGGAGGGAGAGAGAGGAAGAGAGAGAGAGAGAGAGAGAGAAACATCGACGGACGTGGAAGGTACACATCGAGTGGCTGCCACCCGCACGACTAACCAGGGCCGGGGACAAACTGCAACCGAGGTACATGCCCTTAGCGGGAACCGAACCCCGGTCTCTAGACTGCAGGCCAATGCTCTAACCGCTGAGCCAAACTGGCCAGGGCAATAAGATCCAATTTTAAAAGGGCAAAAGATATGAACTTGCACAAGTAGAAATCCAGATACCTAATAAATATATGAACAAAATTTCAACTTCAAATTTCTAGTAAACCCAAACTAGAATATCATTCCTGTGCCTATGATATTTAACAAAGATAAAAGGAAAATTAAACATAATTCTCTGGGAAATAGTATTGTAGTCCATATAGAAAACAAATTATGAATATTCTTTGACCTAGTTTTTCCATATCTAGGAATTTATTCTTAAGGATATAATCACAGATGTATGAAAAGATTTTTCTATAATGTTCATTGCAGCTTTGTTTGTAAAACAAAAATCAAAATAAAACATAGCATTCAGGTTGCTAGAGTAATCCAGATAGGAAGGGGTTCAGGATAGCAGCTTTAATAGGAAAATATTTTAAAATTCTGTGGTCAAAAACTGTTTAATAGACCAAATTTTTATTTTCAGTTACTGTGTTACAAATAATAGATTGTATGTATATTAAATAAAATTTATTAAAAATGTCTATGATCCTTCTGAAGTGTTTTATTTAAATTCTTACTATGCTATTTAGCTATTATGTCTTATAACCTTGTCTTTTAATGGATTGGAAGCTTAAACAGAAGAGGTAATTTGAGCAAAATTTTATAACCAGAAAGTAATGACAGATTTATAGTTTTCATGTGTAGTATATTAACTATAGGTTATAACAGCTCAACTTCCCCCACAATAAAAATAGGAAACTATTTTGTGGAAATAATTTTGTATATATATGTATTTAATGCTTGTTTCATCTTTCTTACTTTTCAGAATTATCATGAAATTATGACTCATCATCCTGAGAATTATCAGTGGGAAAACTGGAGTCTAGAAAATGTTGCCACCATTTTAGCCCAACGGTTCCCCAATAGTTATATTTGGGTGATAAAGTGTTCCCGAATGCATTTACACAAATTCAGCTGCTATGACAATTTTGTGAAAAGTAATATGTTTGGTGCTCCAGAACACAGTACTGACTTTGGAGCTTTTAAGCACCTTTATATGTTATTAGTTAATGCTTTTAACTTAAGTCAGAACAGTTTGCTATCAAAGAAGAATGTGAAAGATTTGAATAAGGACTCCAAAGCATCTAATTATAGATCCAGTTCTTCTCATACTACTAATGGTTGTCAGGGAGAAAAAGAGAGCCCCTGTGAAAACTTTGATGAGTCTGCCATGACTTTTTATCCACCATCACTAAAGGGTGCTTCTTTTACTTTGATTGGATTCAGTAAAGGTTGTGTTGTTCTGAATCAGTTACTTTTTGAATTGAAAGAAGCTAAGAAAGACAAGAACATAGATGCTTTTATTGACAGCATAAAAACAATGTACTGGCTGGATGGTGGACATTCTGGAGGAAGCAATACTTGGATTACTTATCCAGAAGTCTTGAAAGAATTTGCACAAACAGGGATTATTGTTCACACCCATGTAACACCTTACCAAGTACGTGATCCAATGAGATCTTGGATTGGAAAGGAGCACAAGAAATTTGTTCAGATACTTAGAGATTTTGGTATGCAGGTGACTAGCCAAATTCATTTTGTAAAGGAAGCTCCTTCCATAGAGAATCACTTCAGGGTTCATGAAGTATTTTGAGACTACAGAATGTACTTCGAGAATATTAATGTACTTGTTCAGTGGAAGAGAAAAAGCACTTTTGAGTTTTACAAATTCAGATAATGAGATGTAATTCATAGATAATACATCCATTTGGGTGGGGCAGGGAACACATTCCTAAAATATGAATATAATGTGCAATAGTATTTCTTGCTTATGAATGTGAACAGTTTTTAATTTGGACTGGGTTAGAATTAGTTTGAAATCTAGGTTTGTGATAATCCTATGAGGAGATCTATAAGACCCTTCATGAAAGTTACAATATAGTCCTTATAAAAGGTAATTAAAATTGTTATTGTTGGAAATAGTTTATTTTCTGAGTAATGCTCAAAACTAATTTTGGTGGCATTTTAACAGTAATTAGCGGTTTGGGTACTGAAAACTTTTGGGTAGAAACACTCCATTTCTCTTAAAACAAAGTAAAAGCACATGGATATTTTCCATCATTTTGGAATAACTGTACTCTGCCTTTATGTTTTGTAAACTCATAGAATCATTCTTTAGTGTGCCACTGAGTGTTTTTTCTCAAGAGTCAATATACTTGTTTCCAAATATCCAAGAATGTGCAGTACTGTAAAGTTGGTTTTTAAAAACATTACACCTAAGCACTGTGGCTAAAATTTTAATTGACAAATTTTGGCTAAGATATTTTGGAGTTTCTTAAATCTTGGCCAAAAACCAGTTCTTTTGGGAACATCGTTTTAAAGTGAACATAATTATGTATATTGGGTAAAAATATATTAAAGATTGAAAAATTTTTATATCAGTCTTTTGAGAGAGATCAACTTAGGTAAAATAAATATATAACACTCTATTTGTTAGTGTTCTCTTGACAAGGGGACAGATTCTATAGATCTAAGTCAGTGTTTCTCCAGAAGCATGGTTCTGTCTGCCAAAAGAAAGCAGCTCTCTTTGGCCAGAATGCAAAAATTATATTGCTATAAGAAAAGTTACAAGGGAAAGTTTGAAGAAACATAATTTAATTTTGGCTCAAAAACTGAATTTGCTTAACACTGCTACATAATTTGGGTGAGGTTTCCTTCTGCCTGTTTTTCTTGACCTAGATAAATACATTTTGAGAAACCAAGATCTAATTAATGTCAACCAACATTAAAACATTGCTCTGTGTTTAAAAGGTGAGTGGTCACTTTATTTAAATCTAGCTTTTGCAGGGCCTGAAATAAAGCAGGGAAGTAACATGCTGCTTTCAGACTGAAAAAGACAAGCTTAATATCTTAATAACCGGGAAGACCTAAATTTATAAAACAATATAGAGTGAAAATGTTAATTGTCTTTTCCCCCCCAAATTGTATTTTAATGACTATAAACACATTCCAAATATCCAGGGACTTATGAGAAAGGATTCTTATTGAATGAGTATAAATAGCATCCTTTAATTCTATAAATTACAGAATAGTATCGAGTTTTTATTGTTGTTTTTCTTTTAGGATAAAGTAGTTTTATAATGCTTCAGTTCCTTTAAATACCTGTTTCTTTTGAGACCAAAAACTGGTATCAAGGAAACTAGTCAGCCTGATTCCAGCATTTTATTACCTTAAAGCATTATAATTTATTGACTTATTTTAAGGTTTCATAATCCTTGGTTAAATTCATGTGTATCTGGTACAAAATAGCTAAATTACTGAATGCTTTAATGAGTGTGGAAGGAAAGGCATTTATTTTTGTATGATTAAAATGGAAAAAGTAGGACTTTCAGCAGGATTCTCATTATAAAACACCTGAGATACTTAAAAATGTGGGTTCTTTCACTATCAAGTCATGTGAATGCTTAATTTTTTATATATGTTCAATGGATATTAAAAATTAGCCACTGGACACCTGGAACTACCATTGCATCAAAATGAGACAGTGTTGAAAAGTAAAGTATTTCTTGAATTAAAATATATTCAAGATGACCCATACTCAAGTACTTTAATACTTCAAATTTGTTCTTTCTCCGCATTTGTTTAAAACTATTGTAATTGTTAGTATATTCTTTTGGATTGTGCCTTTGTGTTTGTGTCATGTGTCAACTGAGAAAAGTAGTCACACAAATAATGTGAAAGTTACTACCACAGCATGAATGTATAACTGTATTAAATTTAATCCACAGAAGTCTGTTTTGATGTGCTTTATGTTACTAGATTTGTTAAAACTTCAGATCATTATTTGGAAGGAAGCTGTTTCTCTCCACTTTGCCAGTTTGAGTTTGTGTTTTCATTAATCCCCGTGTTTTTTTCAAATGAACAATTTTGAACCTTTTCTATAAAAGTATCCCTTGCTTTTATTGCTCCACAAAATTTTACACAATTTCCATTTCTTCTGTTGCATTTCCTAGAGAACAAAATCTCTCAAAAATAAGTTCTTCCCTTTTTGTGTTCATTATCTCACATATCTGTCTTCCTTTAGCTCTCCTTAAGAGACTTGGTTAGAATATGGTGAGTTTTTTTGTTTTTTTTTTTACATTCCATTTGTGTAGTATCTAAGCACCCAAGGACAAAGTAAGTCTAAGCACTAAGGATATAGTACAGACAAAACAGTCCCAGCATATGAGTATAGGAATGTGTAAGGCGTAGGAGGTAAAATATGAAACAAAAAGTAGTATTCTTAAAAGAGCTATTGTGTAAGGCATAAGAGATAAAATATGAAACAAAAAGTAGTATTCTTAAAAGAGCTACTGTTACAGCATGTTTTAAGGGTCTTCAAGAGAAACATGCTTACAAGATACACATGTAGATAGACCTCATGCATAAATTCAGATTGCTTTTTACAAAGGCAGAGAGAACTAGTAGCTTTTGGTAGAGACAAGGATAATAATTTAGATAGTCATTTCAGTATATCATTAAATGGAACTTTAAAAAATAGAATACAACTTAGGTGTATTTAAGACTTCCAAACATTTCATGGCATGTATGCTTGAAATGAGACTTGAAGGTAACACCAGAGATATGTGGGTGACTGCCAATCTATGTTAGTTCCTCCTGACTACATCTGTTTTTCAGCACTGGGAGGAGTCAGTAGTACAGTTCCAACTCCATCCAGACCTGCATTCCAGTTTCCTGCATTTGGGGGGGGGGGGCGGGGGTCAACTTCTTAAATTCAACTTAGATATCTGTTGGTAACTTTAGATAAGAGAGAGAAAAGCTGTGTTACTAAGTTCTTTTCAAATGTTCATGTAACAGCTACACAAAAGAACAGAAAGATACAAAATAAGCCTTGTTGTTTCCCTCCTTTTGTTGCTGGAAGTGACAAGTTTGAAACTAATTATTAAATATACAGACTTCCAGTGTAATTATGCACCAAGACAAATACTGTTAATGTTCATGAAAAGCTAATAATTACAGTCTACACACATATTTTTTAAATCTACAATGAGGGAAAATTTCAAATAATACACAATTGCAGATTTCCATCTGCCTACTTGTCTAACCTCTTCTAAGAGGCAGTCATTATCACTGGTTTCTTGTGTATTCTTGCAGTGATAATTCTATGTACGTACCAATATATAGGGGTAGGTTTACAGTTGCAAATACATGAAAGTGTATTTATTTTTGTATTACAACTATAAATCTACTTTTGCCAACCCGGTATGTTTACTTACAGCATGTTTTACATAAATGGCAGCATACCACATCAATAGTTTCAAACCTGTTAATTACCTTGGAAAAATTTGCCAGTATGTGTGTATATACCTGCCTCACTCTTTGCATAATTTTCCATTTTTATGTTACACTCTGTTGTCTGCCTGTTCATTAGATTTTGTATCCCTTGTCTATGTAGCAAGCAGAACAATGAGATGTTTTGCTGGCAGAGGAAAACTATTCCTTTGTGGATCAGGTCAGGCCCTTAAACTCTAGCCAAAGAATAACTATATAATGTATTCAGAAGTATTTGAGATGAGATGCACTTAAAGGAGAAAGAAAGGAGAATTACTAATCTGGTTACTACAACTGAAATTCCAGTTTCTATCACCCAGCTGTGAGCCTGGACAATCACTTAAGTATCTGGATTAGATGATTTCTAATTCAGCAATAAAATTCTTACGGGTTTTGTCTTTTATGTTTTCCTTCCCAAAGGAAAACTAATCTTCTGAATAGTACTTTGCTTATCCTAAGTAACCAAATACCAAAATCTAACAATTAGATCTCACTAATACAACTAATTCCTTTTCTGATGGACTCCTATTCTTGTTGATCGAAGTAACCAACATTTCTTCTCAAAGATGCCTAGGAAGGTCAGAATGTTTATATACTTTTCCTATTTATTGTAATTTGCTTTTTATATCTGAAATTAATCCAACTGTAAACACAGGATGAGTAGATGAATTATTTTCAATAGAGGAAATTATTTTCTCCATAATTAAAATGAATCAAATTTATATACTCAGATTGCTTTAGATAGGCACATTTAGTCTTCAGTGAAAGTGTAAATAATTACTAGGTCCAAAACAAAGAATGGCACAGATCGGCTCACCGTCTCCAATGACTACAATGTTGAAATCTCTCATGTATCTGTTCTTAAAAATAAGATAGGTGGAAGAGCATTTAGTGGTGAAAACTTAATTAGATGAAAGTTTAGCCTCAGGTATACTGACTTGAATATTTTCTGACATTTAAAAACTGGAAAAAGGGGCAGGCCTAACTCATACTGGATGTTTATAAAAATTAGGATCAGATTAAATATGTTTTGGATGAATAAAAAAAATCCAAATTATCATCTTACTCAATTGTTCTCAATCGTGATTATGCATCAAAACAACCTATGAGGTTTATCAAATACAGATATCTACTCCAAACCCCAAACACACTGATTCCAGGTCTATAAATTGGGACCTAGGCACTTGTTTTTAAAAGCTCAAAAGATTAATATAGTAGACATTGTTGGTTGCCCACCTTTTTTCCTTTCTTATCAGAATCCTGATTTAAATGATTATCCATTCTGCCCACATGTGCCTCACTTCCAGCTCCAGTACACCAGACTGGCTTAAGGGTCATTTCATAGCCTTTGCCAGTAACTGGTTCACGGATAGATAGGTCTAAGCCACTTTAGATGAATGAAACCCAAGGATTTGGTGGAAAATTTTGGGAAAGCTTTCTTATATTAAGAGAGGGCCCTTGGAACCCAGCCTGACCTCCTCCACTGCATGTAAATGAAGGTGCACACAGCCTGAACTGCTGTTGGCAATCATTCCATGAAGGTAGCCAGCCTTAGGATGATGCCAATGCTACAGTTGAAAACAGAAGGGAAAAAACCCTAGACGTTCTTAATGACACTACTGAAATACTGATCAAAAATACTGAAGCCCAGTCCTGGCCAGTTTGGCTCAGCGGTTGGAGCATCAGCCTGCAGACCAGAGAGTCCCAGGTTTGGTTCCTGCTAGGGGCACATACCTAAATAAATAAATAAATAAATAATACTGAAGCCCAATATATCAGACTTCATGTATAACAATTCAATACATTTTTGTCATTTTAAGTTAAATTTTTAGTTACTTGCCTCTGAAACTAAAGGGATCCCAGTACAGCATTCTTTGAACCGTAGTGATCTGTATTAAGTAAAAACCATACACACACCTGTTTGTATTTATTTAATCTCTAAATATGGAATTGATTTATCTTTCCTCTTTTAACAAAGAATCTAAAAAATAATTTGTATCTTGTTATATTTTCTAATATTTGGGCTGAACTATATTTAAAAGGTTATATTCATTGCATTCATTTCATTACTTATTCAAAGTTTTTGCTATAGGCCTTTTCTTGAATGTGTAAGACCATTCGCCGTGCATAGAAGTCTCTGTATTCCTCTGGTAACTCAGCCAGTGTTTTTATTGCTCTGTCCAAAATTTGTGCAGCTCTTGATGCTGCTGTAGGATCTTTGTTTCCATAGGTGTCTGTTTTATCATAGCATTCAGATGGAAGGTGTCTCCAAAAGACATTCACTCCCACTCCAAACTCTTCAGAAAGTACATTATGGAACCATAAAGCTGGAGAAAAATTTTTTAAAAGTTAAAAATAAAACCTATAGTTAAAAAAATAACCCAAAATGTCAGTGAAATATCACGAATTGCATATAACCAATGTAAGAAATAATTCTTGTAACTAGATCCCTTCGTTAGCACACTCCCAGTTTTTAACAGAATCTTTTTAACTTTTATGAATTGCCAACCAATTTAAAGTGTCAATAGCACAACCCTACATTTAAAATCTTTGCAAATAGCAATTTTTCCTTTTTTTTTTTTTAATCCTCACCCAAGGATATTTTTCCATTGATTTTCAGATAGAGTAGGAGGGAGAGAGGGAGGTAGACAGAGAGAGAAGGAAGGAGGGAGGAGGAGGGGGAGAAAAGGAGGAGGAGGAGAGAGAGAGAGAGAGAGAGAGAGAGAGAGAGAGAGAGAGAGAGAGAGAAAGAAACATCCATGGTTGTTTACAACCATTACAGAAAGAAACATCAATTGGTCGCTTCCTGCACGATCCCAACCAGGCCGGGACCAAGGTACATGCCCTTGACCAGAATCAGGCTGACACTCTACCGGCTGAGCCAAACTGGCCAGGGTGCAATTTTTCTTTCAATTTGAAAGACATAATAAAGTTATATTTGTTTTATAGTTCTGTAATTTGGGGCTGTGTTTTGTGTTACTTTTTTATACTTCCTGAGTCACAACCACATCAAAAGTATTTATTTTTTGTACACAGAACATTTCAATTATTTGAAGAGTATATTTAACCTTTTCTGACTTAGTATAATACTTCTGTTCTCAAAGATTTCCTGTTGAAGCTGCATTTGCTTTTCTAACTTGCTTAAATTTGCATCATTGTAGTCT